GGTCCCTTAGAAGAGAAATCGAAGTTAAAAGCCGCATTATCAAGTCCACCAAGGTATACGTGGACCACACAGTTAGCGGCACGTCTCACTTTCCCCATCGCCCCATCCCCCCCATCTCCGGGGGCTCTGCCCGGTCTGAACTTGCCTGAACCCTGGTGGTCACACCTCTTGAAAAGGTTTTGTTTCCCCCGTCAATTGGTATTCAAACCAGGTCAGCGGATCCAGCCGGGCCCCCCGGCCCCCCGCCCCTAGGGCCGTTTTCATTTTAATTTGCACCTGTTGTGCAGTTGTTCCAAAGGCAAGTACGGGCGCGCGCATTATAGCGCCGTCGCATTATGAATAGATATGCGAGCGGTAATCTCTGTGTCACCCGTGCCTCCACCCGTCGGCCCGGCCCGGCCCCCTGGCTCCGCTCCTTTTCTCCGGTACCGACCCGGGAAAATGCGGCTGTCGCTCATGATCTGTGTCTGTAAGGCCTGGAAGGGTTTGGAACGGGTAGTCAGACACTCCGCTTTCCAAGCGTCGGTGCTCGATATCTCCATATTGCCGCATTTCGGGCCACAAGCGGAGCTCCAAAACAAACCTGGAAATTGTTTTTCTTGTCCTTTTTTTCCGCCTGCTCCCTCACCCCCACACCTCCTTGTGTCTTAAATGGGTTCCCATGATGTCATGACTTTCATTTCTTCCTCCCCTGCCCCCCTCCCCACTTCGTTCCGCGTTCCCCCCTTCTTGCCCCCCAGTCAGGCACGTCCGCAGCTGGCTATGCTGCCGCCTGGCATTTTTTGACTCTGGTCCGTCACTCGGCGCCGTTTATGGATCGGCACGTGAGCCCGGTGGCCTGTTTAGGTTCCCAGACCCTATTTACAGGAGGGCCGTTCTAAGAAAAGTGTAGGTATGTCTGGAGACCCACAACTTGGGTCTCGGCTACGTGGCGTTCCACTGGCTCGCGGATTCCGGGAAACGCCCCCGAAATCATGGTCTCTGGGGAGAGTCCCACCCTGGGGGGACTGAAAATGTGAACACGGGGGGGGGTTGGCATACCACGCCAAGGCCTGATATGTGGGGAGATATTCAGGGCAGAAGCTAATCTGGATACAGGCTGCGGGGGTGGGGGAGTGGCTTCTCTGGTCATGTGACTTTTGAAATGTGCGCCGTTTGCTAAATATCACAGCTATGTGGCTGGCGTGGCCCTAGGGGAATGGCAGCTATGCCACGCCACCCCCCCCCCCAAGCCTGTTAGCATCCGAGGCTGGTCTCACCGCCATGGCTGGAAACTGGAAACTATTTCACTGGCCTGTCCAGCAGCTGGGCAGGGAATCCAGTCCAGAAACAGTCGGGGCGAGGCCCAGCTCAGCTGTGACACCTCAGGGGGGTGGGCAGAGGGGCAGGAGGCTGTTCTTGGATGGCCTGGTGACCATCGTGTGGCGCATCTCGTTTGCAGTGCTGAACTACGAGAATGTGGTGGAGACGGGCTCGGAGACGGACGAGGACGACAGGCCGTTGGTCCCTGAGGAAGACAGCCTCCTCAATGGAGACAGCAGCCCGGCGGGCCTAACCCACCCCGAGGCCTCGCCCCGTGCCGGCCACGCCCCTTCGCACAGGGACGACGAGGACGAAGACGCCAGGGACGGTGGGCCGGAGCTCCCCTGGCATGACAGCGATGTCCTGCAGGTCTCACTCGACGGTACCGGTGAGTGACGGGGTGGTCAGCCAATGAAACAAACATCCTTGGCAACATTCGTATGGGCCTCCTTTCGGAAATGCCTCGCCCTCTGATTTATAACCCGCAGTGCTTGATTTCTATAGGGGGAGCATTTATCAAAGAGGGATATTTCTCCGTCTTCCATGTTTTAGCCTAAAATCACAATCCTTACGCTTATCTCGGAGCTGCCGCCGGTCGGGTGACATCGCTGCCTTGTCTGTATCCGCGAGGCGGCTCCTGCTGTGTCTTTAATGTGACTCCTTCTGTCTTTTTTTCTTCCACCTCATCCAGAGCACAAGGCCTAATCGGGGGGACCTGCTAGTGGGTGTTTAAAAGACAAATACTTTTAATTAGGGGCAGAGGATAATCATTAAAGGAAGGCAGGCCGCTGCAGAAGTCATTAACAATCTTAAATGAAATTTTTATTTTTACGATAGCCATTTACATGTATAATAAGAGCCGATGATTCTCGGGGCGCCGTGACAGAGTGTGCGACAGCCCATTTAGATGAGCCCGGCCTGCTTCTTCATTCCGCCTAATGAACCGGAGGAGAGAGAGCAGAGGAGGCCGTCCGGGGCTTTGAAAATCCACCGGAATCCGAAAGGAGGGGAGAAAAGAGAGAAGGGGAGTGTTTGTGGAGGAGGGTTTGACTCGGCAGAGATTATTACCGTCATCACCATAAAAAAGCTCCGTGAAGGCTAATCGATGCAGGTTTTGCTAAATCGCAAGGCAGCGCCACGCATCGGGAGCGCGGCGTTAGATATCCGACGTATTAATAAAATAATCGTGGGTGAAGATAAGCACATACCGCCTTTGTACAGTGAAAAGGAGGATTTATTTATTTTTTCAACTGGTGCCTGGATGTCTTTATTTACGCTGTGTTGCACAGGGGAGATAATGCGTCTCTGATGTGATAAAGTGTCAGGCCTTTCGTTAGTGGGATGTTGGGAAGCTCTCTGCTCCCCCCCCCCATCCCCACCCTCCCCGGTGCCTCTCTGTCTGCCGTGATACCTCAGCACATAACTTCACCCCGAGATAAGCCCGCTACATCTCCCCTGCCTCGACACTTTGTCCACGGGACACATGTTTAAGTTCGAGAGTCTTGTCGAGCTCTCGTGGCGTGTCTTTTCCAGAACACTCCACCCCTCCACCCCCGACCCAGCGCCACCACGGCACAGCCACAGTTTTGTGCTTGGAGTCGTCCTTGACATTTTTATCCACACCGGTGCTGGACCCGCTGTGCCGCATGCCTCTGTCACGGGGCTAACTGACAGCTCCTTTAAATAAATCACCTGACTTTCTCCACACGCTCCCTAAAAAGGTGCCGTTTTCTTACGCCGATTCCCAGAAAGCTCCGGAGGAAATGTGTGGAAGGTGGCGCCGAGCTCTCCTCTGCCACGAGGCCAGGAATGTTTTTGGAAAAAAATGGATCAATAGTGCTGTGAATTGTGAGAGTGGGGGCTGACAGGAGAGTGTTCATGGGCGTGATGGTTTCAGACTGTGGCAGGAAACTTACACAGCCCCTGAGCCCCCCCCACCTCACGTGTGCCCCGCGTTCCTGATTTATCAGGTACAGACACAAAGGGCAGATGTTAAGCCACAGTACATTTCCCGTTACACAAGCGTCCGTCACCTAATCCGCTGAAGTGAATTTTCAGAGTAAGAATTTTAAAAATGACCCCTCCCCCCCCTGTCTGCCGGGTACAGGAAACACCAAACGTGAGTGGGGGGGGGGGTTGCTGGTGTTAGTCCACCTCCTGGTGGAAGGATTCTTGTACTCTGAGACTACCAAAAGCAGAAAGGGTGTTGCTCTGGGGTTAAAATAAGCTGGTTGTGCCGTATCACGGTCACTCAGCAGATCCAAGAGCTGCAGCCGGTATTTAAAGACCCTGTCGAGCCTCTCCACCACTCAGAGTGCAAAGGGGGGAGACGAGGCGCTCGCTAATTAGCACCCGGGAAATTGTGTGCTGCAGAGGCACCTGTGAGCATCTGCATGAGACGTGGAGAAGTGGCGGCACGTGACTCTGATGTCATCACCGTGGGACGGCTGCACTCCAGACCTCCCACGTGTCCACAAGTCGGCCTTGGCGTCCCTCATACTGTTTATCTGCTCATTCTCATTCTCACGCGCCATTAGCCGTACCTCCTTTTATCTGTTTAGTGCAGAAGGAAACTGTTTTTGTTTCGCAGGGTGGTACCAGCCCAACGGTTCCATTTAAATATTTTTAAGGCCCTGTGACTGCTGCAGAACGATTGTTTTTCTCCCCTAAATGAACGAACCATTTTACATAAATTAATCGTTGTCTAACATTATGCACGTTATGTGAGAAACTGAGTATTCCTGTCGTGTCAATGGCAAATCTGTCACAGCAGTTTGTTCCACTCGTATCAGCGTGTTTCTTTTTTGATGTTAAGTTTTGCAACACGCATCTCTGAAGAGTTGCATATTCTTGCAGGCCCAAACAAACCCAGTAATCAGTTAGCCTGATGATGAAGCTGGAGTGATTTCATAGCCAGGGATGGGGACGTGGAGGATGTAGCCGCAGGTTCCCGGCAAGATGATGCGTGTGACTCCACAGAAGTGGACCATGAGCACCCAGGACAGGCAGACACACTCGCTATATTTACAACGAGGAACTGTCATTCTCGGAAATACCTTGATTTAATTTCGGAGACACGGCGGATGAGGATTCGGATGGGGGGGGGGGGCTCTTTAAGTTAATTGTGCATATGCAGCAGCAGTGGTGGCAGCGTCCTCGTGTTGACCGTGCCGGGGTCCGTAGCCCTTGTCTTTATGGCACTGTCCATCCATCAGCGGGATGTTATTTATCACCATCGTACCTGCGCCTGGGGCGAATTGGGCTGGCATTTCCGGTACAGCTTGCATTAAACTGATTGATAATTAGATAAGAGAGGGGTCGGGAGATAAAGCCTTGTATTATAAGTTACCTCCCTCCCCCGCGGCGTTACTCGCCCCCAGCAGATCTTGGCTTATGCTTCCTGGTCACTGAGTTGCCTTTCACTATGAATGGTAGATGGGGGAAGAGGGGGGTCACAGCCCACCTGACCAAAGAGGTCCATTCAGCTATCTTCCCTCTGAGGGGATGTTGGTTTGTCTCATTTGTTCTGACTCTTAATCCTTCCCATCTCTGTTTCCCCCCCTCAGATGATATGAAGGATGATTACGGCCCCATGGAGACTGAAGAGCCCGTACAGGAACTAGGAAATGGTACAGGTGAGTCTCCCTCTATCTCTAGACACGTCGGGCAGAGCTAAGCGTGTTTCTGGAACGGGGTGGAGTTTGTGTATCTTTGACCAGGGGGGAGGGGTTTATGTATGTACATTTGCGCATGTGTTTATTCTCCTCTGTGGCCTGTTGGAGACGTACAAACCTGAATCCTACCTGCCATATCTAATTAAGCGGGCAAAACTGATTTCCGCCCACCAGCCTCGTGGGAATTAAACTTCCCCCTCATGATATCATCCAGGCCGCGGCTGACTGGCCACACAGACGCCCCTGTGAAAGGCCGCCACGGCATGCAAACTGCTCCTCCGACTCCCCTATCCCTTGGGCTTCCTGACACTCTTTTTTTCTGGAGAGTAGTTTGGTTTCCATAGAAATAAAATAAATGTGATGTTCCATTGAGGCTCTGATGTTTTTGCCTGAGCAGCAGAGTGTTTGCGTTACGTGGCCGCCGCTGCGGCAGCCTAGGTGTTAGTCAATCGATGTAATTCCCCTAATGAGAAACACATACAGTCCACGCTGCGTCCCATTTGAGATTTCCGTCACACGCGGGGGGGGGAGCATCTCGGCATGTTTTCTTAGTCGCGGGACGCGGCCGACATCACAGATTGTAGCTCATTGCACAATCAGATTTGTGCAAATTTGATTTGTCTGGCTCGTGTGCTCTCAGAGGCGTTGGCAGCAAAACCTTACGATATTGACTTTCCCAAACCACCGGTGGGAAATAGTGGAGCGGGATGGTCGGGCTGTCTCCCCATCACCGCTGTACCGAGAATGGAGCATTGTGGGTATGGGCCATGCCGCATGGCGAAAGTCTCCACCTTCCCCACGATTCCACATGCTCTGACATTTTCTAGTTGCTTCTCGATGGTGACATAATCCTCCCAACTTGACCTTTTGCAGATTGGACCGTAAAATGTTTACAGACCACAAAGCACCAGCGTGTGAAGATTACCTTTGTGCCCGTCGAGAAAGCCGTCAAATTAATTGGCGTCTAGTAAACGTAAAGCACCACCGTGTAAAATGCTACCTTTTTTTCTGCCCCCCCCCCGTCATGTTTGGATTAGTAACAGCAGCCGTTGTGCATCTAAATGGGGAAAAAATGCTATGTTATCAAGGAGACCGGAAGTGGCTTTTCCAGGTTGGCGGTGTTTGGGCCGCAATCAGCCTGTGCCACCAAGCCCTGTCATTTCCCGCCTAATGGGTGCTTGCGCTGTTCATGATTACGTGAAGCTATCTCAATTTCCTACCGCTCCAAGCTTCCTGAGCACGAGAAAACGTAGGGGACATTCCGAGATACGACCACGTCTTCATCACCCTTCCTGCACTTCCACGTATCTCATTTCCTGTTTTTCTTTGTTTTTAACCCATGGCCTGTTTGTACATCTTACACATTTTGGCCTGTCTTCCGTAAACCAGAATTGCCAAAAAAGAAAAATTTAAATAAAAAAAGAATAAATAAAATTAATTTATGATAAAACGTAAATAAAAAATGGTTTCTGACTGGCTTGAACTGAATATCAGGAATTAGATCTGCCTTAAAAGATTTATCATTTAAGCATCGTAATCAAATTTCACATAATTTGAACTATGAGAATGGAGAGGTGGAATTGGCAGGCCGTGCAAATGTGATTTCCATGTAAGTGTTTGTGCCGTAACTGGTAATATGTTTAAAGCAGAAAGGTTTATCTTTGAGAGCTTTTCTACCATCCGGGATGGTGCTTGTCCGGGGATTTCTGATGTTCGTGGGCGTTTTCTGACAGGGTAACATTGTAAAGTGTACACTCACCACATCGCTCTAAAGGGTTTTATTCTTCACCTCCTAAAAATTCAAATGTGTTATTATTATTATTATTATTATTATTATTATTATTATTATTATTATTGGTTTTCTTTTTAGGAAATCCTGAAAAACCTAGGGGTAAAAAAATATTTTCTGTTAATGACTTTTCTACTTTCTTTCATCTTCTCAGTGAACAATGCCAACTGCCCTTTGGAGTTGCTAGACAGGAAATCCCCCAAAACCCAGTGGTTAATGATGATGATGTTTCTTCCTCTCTCCCTCCCTCCTTCCGTCTTCACAGTAAAGAGCGCCGACTGCCCTCCGGACTTTGACGACTTCTTTGTCAAGCGGAAGCTAGAGGACGGTGAGAGCCACGTGGTCAGCATCGCCGAGTACCTGCAGCGGGGCGACACCGCCATCATTTACCCAGAAGCCCCGGAGGAACTGTCTCGCCTGGGCACGCCCGAGGCCAACGGGCTGGAGGAAAATGGTAAGAATGCAGGGAGTGCAGCGGAGCGGCCTGCCGGAGACCCGGGCAGCTGTTGCGTTTGCAGATTCGCCGAATGTCTCTGTGTTTACCTTTGGTGCTTGGTAGCAGCTGTTAGGGCCCGAAACCCGATAGTACACCCCCAAAATCCCCAGGGGAAAAGACGGCATTGAAGTGAATTGGATTTATGACGCATACTTCATAAGTGATGAAAGTGTGAAAAATGGCCAATGACCCAATCAGAGACGTTTGGTAATTTGAGGGATTCAACATCAGCAATTGTTAAAGCTGGACCCCTGAATGGAGAAGACAAGTGAGCAGGTCATAAAGTCAGATTTTAATATTTTATAGATAATGCATTGTGTTGTGTCTACTGCTTATGTAGTGTTTTTATGAAGCTTTTTTTGTTAAAGTGTGTGAAAATCACCTGTCTATGAAATAATTTGATCATAGCCATGTGAAGGTCTGTTATTGTTATGTTATGTGAATAAAACCACATGTCTAACAAAGGTGCACATTTCTGGACTCTGATCATGCTGTCACGGAATAGAAGGCTGTTTGTGTCTGTTTGTGTACATGTGTGTCAGTGTGCAAGTGTTCATTTGTCTGTGTGTCTGTGAGTGTATATGTGTGTCAGTGTGTGAGTGCACGTGGGTCATGTACATTTGGTCCCCACAATTGATAAAACCTGTTATATTGATGTCGTGGGGACCACCTCTGCTGTTCACAAGGATAAATTCAATTTTATTAAAATCTGTCACTGCAATCAAAAAATTAAAAATGCCAAAAGTCTAGTATTTTGTTTGGTTACTTATGGGTAAGGTTAGGGCTGGTAAAGGGTTAGTGTTGTCATTGTTGGGATTAAGGTTTTTCCCATTTAAATGAATGTATAGTCCCCACAAAGATATGAACACAAACATGTGTGTCCATGTGTGTGTGCGTTTGCGTGTGTGTGTGTCCGTGTGTGTGTGTGTCCATGTGTGTGTGTGT